GGTGGTGTTGGGATATGGACGAGGATGGGATGGGATAGGGGTGGTGTTGGGATAGGGATGGCGATGGGGATAGGGGTGATGGTAGGATGGGGATTGAGGATGTGTTGGGATAGGGATGGGGATGGGGTTGGGATGAGGATGTGTTGGGATAGGGGTGGTGTTGGGATAGGGATGGCGATGGGGATAGGGGTGATGGTAGGATGGGGATGAGGATGTGTTGGGATAGGGGTGGTGTTTGGATAGGGATGAGGATGTGTTGGGATAGGGGTGGTGTTTGGGTAGGGATGAGGATGGGTTGGGATAGGGTTGGTGTTGGGATAGGGATGGGGCTGGAGCCCACAGCCTGCCCACACTGATCCCATTCCCACCCGTTTCACCCGGCCTGGGGCAGGCTTTCCGGGTGGGAACGAGGTGATCCTGCGGTCCCTGCCAACCCCAAGCGTTGTGTGCTTCCCCAGGTGCTGCGGCACGAGGAGTTCGAGGAGGGCTGCAAGGCCAGCTGCAATGGGTGAGTGCCCTGCCTGCCCACCCAGCACCAGCTGCAAAGGAAGGGCTGGGTTGTCTTTGATTAAATTGCTTCCCTTGGAAGCTGCAGCCCGCTGTTCTGTTATATTGAACATAAATACCACACCTATAGATTGATACTTAACTGTGTTGCATTATTTCTTACCAGGAACTACATCCAGCTCCACTGATTGTTTATATAGGCATGGCACCATCAAGGTTCTTGAGCTAAAAATCCCTCCTGGTTGCCTCAAAGGCTTTTGTAAGGAAAAAAGGGTGAAAGAAGAAATAGGAATGCATTTCTTTCTGAAATGGAAGGAATCTTACAGTTTGGTGCCCTTTCCTACGTAGCAATAAGGAAGTGATTATGTAATTGCAGCTAATGAGCAGCCTGTGCTCTTAAAGCAGGAGCTGTTAATGAGGTAGAATTGCTTTTATCATATGGCCACAAACAACAGCCTGGGGTCAAAGCTGCCATGATTTCACTCTAGGAATGCAATTCCTTCTTGAAACACAAATGCTTGCAGTTCTTTGTGGTTACTTTTAATATTAATAACATTAAAATATGGCTAATATGGATATTCCAGCCCTTATGATGGAAAATGGAGCAAGACCATGGTGGGCTATGGACCAGAGGACAATCACTTTGTGGCAGAGCTGACTTACAATTATGGCATTGGAGAGTATCGCCTGGGCAACGACTTCCTGGTGAGCTCCACTCCAAGCAGCCAAACTCTCTCATCATAATCTGATTTACTTCAATACTTAGAAGCTGGTTTGTCACATGGGTTATACCAGCTGCTTTTTTTGTGCTGTTTTGTCTCTTAAGCACTTCAGTGTTGCTTTTGTGGTTGTCTCTGAGTTGGAAGAGCAGAAGCCAGAGCAGATTAGTGCTCATATGTGGTCCAGGAAACATTTCTGGAGCTCTGCCTCTGCTCTGTGTGCAGGACAGCTGGTATTTGCTGCCAGACCCAACATGGAATGCTGAACTTGCATGGGAGGACTTGATGCAGGAAAACACTCTTATATTTATTATTAATTTTTGTTTTTGGTGTGATTTAGTGGCTGGCAGCAGGTGGAGAGCTCCTGTTTCCTTTCTCTGAATCCACCCCATGGATTTTGTTGTGTCCTCTCCAGGGCATCACTCTGGTGTCCAGCCAGGCTGTGAGCAATGCCAGGAAGATGGGCTGGCCCCTCAAAGAAATCACCTCTGGTGTCTTTGAAGCTGAAGCCCCAGGAGGATACAAGTTCTACCTGGAAGACAAGGAACAGCTCAAGCAAGGTGAAATCTTTACCCTTTCTGGTGTTCAGCAGAGATTTACCAGTGGTGTATCAGAGTGTGTTTACTTTGATGGCATTTTATAAAACAGAACATTTTATAATTTCTCTGTTACTTCTCAGGAATGCAAAATCATGTGTTTAAACCTATGATAGGTTTGTAGCTAATTTGAAATTATTGCAATCCTCAAGATCCCGTGTGGAAGGTTACCCTGGGTGTCTCAGACCTGCAGAAGTCTGTGAGCTACTGGTCTGGTTTGCTTGGGATGAAAATATATGAGAAGGATGATGAGAAACAAAGGGCTTTGCTGGGCTACGCTGATAACCAGGTCAGTCTTTGGAAAACTCACCATGAAAACCTCTGGTTTCCTGAGAACAGAATCTTAAAAGGAAAAAAAAAAGGTCTTAATTAAAGGAACTTAATTGTGAGTGTTTTAATTGAAGCTGTATACGCTCAGCTATGTTTTTAAAAAAGTCAAAGCTGTGGTTTGCTCTGGTGATTCTGGCTTGCTGGGAAACACATGGATGGGGGATTTTGGAATCACTCACATCCTGGAGAAAAAGCTGCAGCCTGGAGAACAGTATCCCTGCAAGCCAGGCTGGGTTTTTCCCTGTTCCAGTGCAAGCTGGAGCTGAAGGCTGTTGGAGGAGCAGTGGATCATGGCACAGCGTTTGGACGCATCGCCTTCTCCTGTGCCAAGGAAGAGGTAACAGCCCCACTTCCCTCACCCCTTTCCTTACCCCACAGCTGGGGAAGGCAATTTTTAATGTTAACAAAACAATCCTGAGCAGATAGTTTATCTTTCTGGCAGCAGGATGATTTTAGTTTGTTTTCTGTTCTCAGCTGCCAAACATTGAAGCCCTGATGAAAAAAGAGAATCAGAAAATTTTGACGCCCCTGGTCAGCTTGGACACGCCTGGGAAAGCCACGGTGCAAGTGGTTATTCTGGCTGATCCTGTGAGTAAAACTGGAAACAGTGATGAAGTTTGGGTTAAATTTCTCCTTGCCATTGGTTATAACTGAGCTGCTTCCTTTTAGGATGGCCATGAAATCTGTTTTGTGGGAGATGAAGCGTTCAGAGAGCTGTCCCAGGTGGACCCTAATGGTGACAAGCTGTTGGATGATGTAAGTGCCTGCACATTAATTTTCTTCCTGATTAGAGATACCTGTAAAATCCAATTTCCTTTCCATGTTGAGTTTTTTCCTAGAAGCAAATGACCCAAGCTTGGGAAGGAAAATAAATCAGTTTTTAAAGCTCACTTAGTGCCCTGGGTGTTTTCCAGCTCACTCCTGGGGCATGGTCACGTTATTTGCTGTGGCAAAGAACATTGGTTTTCAGAGTCAGCTCTCCTTACTAGTGACTAGAAAAATAATTTATCCCTCCAGAGTGATTTCCTCCTGTTCTGACCATGTCCACACTTGTCTCTGTACAGGCCATGGCTGCAGACAACAGTGACAAGTGGTTTGCTGAGCACAACATGAAGAAGGTTTCAGCTTAGCTGGAGGAACGGATTGGGCTGCTCCTCTGTGCCTTGGAGTTCTCCCGAGAAAATTCCAATCCTGGTTAAAGTGCTGCCTTCCCAATCAGAGGGTGCTGGAGTGTCCCTTGGTGATTTTTTTGAGTTGGTTTTAGCTGATGTCTCTGGCCTGCTGCTCTCTCCAGTAAATAACATCTCCTCCCAAAAAATGGGGCTGTGCAGCAAAGAAGCAGCTGAGCCCTTGGCTTCAAAAACAGGAATCATCAGTCAAGAAAACCTCACATTTCTGTCTTGTTGTTACACTTGAAAGAAAGGTTATTTTCTGGTTAATTAATTTTCTGATTAGTTTGCTTTAGCTATCCTTTATTTGCAGGCTAGAGAGAAGATTTTCAGGCAGCTGTGTCTACTCCCCCTCTCCAGTGGGGTGTGGGGAGTTGGAGCAGGGAGTTCATCCCTTTATTGGGAACAAAGAAATGATCTTGGCAAAGCATGTGAGTGAATACTCCAGTCCTTGTTTTCATTCCAAGGTGTTTCCCCAACTCTCAAGGTGCAATGTTCACTGGAGAAGCCAGCCCCTGGTGTGTTTCTCACTAGGATCCCGGTGTTGATGGGGTGGTTTCCACCCCTTCTCAGGGAGATTTCCACTCCAGGAGGGAGCTGAGGCTGTGCTTTGGGGTTTGTAGCTGCACTGTCTGCTGAGGTGCCAGGGTGCAGCTTGAAATCAGTTTTGCATTTAGCTTTTGGTGAGGAACTTCGGGGATAACAGTTGAAGGGTTTATCCTGTTGAAATGAAGTCACTCTGCTTTTGCTGGTGGAATAAAAGCTGGGAATACAGGGGGACATTCCTGGCATTGTTTCTGTCAGGTATGCTGTCTGACTTGCCGTTTTCTTGATGAAAACCTTAAATAAAACACTTTAAATCACATTTTCCTCACAGAACTGAAATGAGTTTTATGGAGATCAGGCAGTGTTGGCACTTCTGAGCTGAAACAGGAAAAATTCCTCGCTGGGCTTTGGTTCGAGCTTTTAAAATTCAGCTTTAATGACGGGTTTGAATCCTGTTCGTCAAATTAAACATGTTGATCTCGGAGCACGGCAATTAATTAATTGATTGAGTAATTAATTCAGCCGACCTCCGCGCCGCCAGGGGGCGCTGCGGGCAGGGCTGGCTACGTGACGTTCGCGTCGCCTGCGTGACGTCAGAGCGCGGCGCCGCCATGGGGCCGGCGGAGCTGGGCCCGGGCTGTCCCGCGGGGCCGTGGGCCGTGGGCGAGGAGACGGCGATCCTGCACGGCGAAT